TGCTGGGGGGGGGGGGCCCGCCCCCCTCCCCGGTTGGGGGGGGGGGGCATCCGATGCCCATTTGAAGAACCACGGTCATGTGGAGATACAGCACAGCTGGGCCCTGGCTACTCTTGGGTGCCGTGGTGTGCGTGGTGGATGAGAGGTGGCTGTGGAGAGCCTAACACAGTCGGCACCCACGGCCACCCACGAAGCGTCCAGCTGACAGTGGCTGCTGGTCTTGCTTGAGGCTACGAATGTGGCAGAGGCAAGGTGAGGGTAGGGGTGGGGAGTGGGGCTAGCCAGGCTGACTTGTCTAGGACCTTCCCTCAGCTGTGCCCCCAAGTTCCAAACACACAGAACTACAGAGTCCTGGGTCCTGAGAAGGGGTTGGTTTAGACTGGCTAATAAAAGCACAAGTCTGAAAACCAGCAAGCTCTCTCTGTGTTATGGGGTGAGATGCTGAGGTCCCCCGAGGGCAAGGGGCTGACCAAGGTCCACAGAGAGCCAGCACCGGAGCCAGAGGTGTGCCCTAGGTCCCAGGCACTCAGCTGCCCTTCCTGGGGCTAGGTGTCATCTGGGAGGCTTTGGAGTCAGACACACCCAGGTTCTAATCCCAGTTCTGCCACAAGCCCCTGAAACTCTGGGTTACTGAGCCTGAGCTGTGGTTTCCTCGCATGGAAATAACACCCAGCACCGCAGCTACGTGCTTGTCATAACACTTGAAATAACGCACACACCCGGCACAGCGCCAGCGTTCGGCACGTTGTTGCCTGAATCAGTGCGTGCGTGCTGTCTGGCCCACCGCGCTCTGGCAAGGCTGGCAGGTGTCCTGGCGTCAGGGAGTGGCTCAGCTCTTCCCTGTCCCTCCTCACACAGGTGATTGTCTGGGGAGACTATGGCCGCATGGACCACAAGTGCTTCATGGGCATGGCCCAGATCATGCTGGACGAGCTGGACCTGAGCGCCGCTGTCACCGGCTGGTACAAACTCTTCCCCACCTCCTCCGTGGCAGACTCCACGCTTGGATCCCTCACCCGGCGCCTGTCCCAGTCCTCCCTGGAGAGTGCCACCAGCCCTTCGTGCTCCTAAGGACATCAGGCAGAGAGAGCGGTGGTTAGGGTGCCTGTTGGCCCCTCCCCTGTACATAGTCTTCGTGTCTTTCCGGACCCCGTCCCCGCTGCATGCCTGCTGGCTCCTGGGCTGTCCCAGCTGGCAGTGGGGTGTGTGCGTGTATGTGTGCGTGTCTGTGTCTGTGTGTGACCATGTTGTATCTGTTCCCTTGTCTGGTATGGTCAGTCCTGGTGACTACACGCCTGAAACCCATGTCTCTATCTCGCTGAAAAGAAACCCAAAGGAGTGTTGTGTGTTCACGGCTCACCCAGAGGAGTCTCCAGGGGTGGCAGTGGGGATGCGGCCGTGGGCCATCCTGCCTGGGCCCGAGCTCAGGGCAGAGCCTAGGGGCTCCCCACCTGTGCCTCCTCTCGGTGGTCCTCCGCTGAGTTTCCGTCTCGTCTCAGTCACACCCTTCACCTGTCCCAGCACTGCTGCTCTTTCTTGAGGAATGTAGCACCCCCGCAGCTGGCCCCCGAGGCCCCACCACCCACCTCCACTCCCCTGCCGAGCAGCCCTGGCCGCTCTTCGCTCTTCCCACCAAACGCATTCTGCTCATCAGCCTGGGCCCAGCCCTGGAGGCAGGAGCTGCCTTCTCTGGGACTGGGACCCCTCCTTCCTACAAGCGAAGCACAGGAGGGCTCAGCTCCCAGGGCGGGCAGCCAGCCCCCATCAAGGGTGCCCGGAGCCTCCCAGCGCGGGTCACCTCCTCTCTCTCCATAAGCTTCCTCACACCAACAGTGAAGGAGCTCTCCCCTGGGCCCGGGGTCGGCCTCAGAGGGCTTGCCCCCTGCCAGAACAGCCAGCCTCCCCGGGCCCTCCAGGCTCGTCCCTGGTGGGACAGAACTCAGTATGGAGGTGCTGGGGCAGGGGATTAGCTGCATGAAGCTGCTCATCTGGGGCTCTATTTTTTGCTCATTTCCAAACCAGGGTCCCTGCCTGGGAGCTCGGAGCCACATGGGCTCCAGCCTCCTGACTCCTGGCTCCTGGCTCCAGGGGCGGCCCAGCTCTAGACTCTAGTCGATAGTCACCAGCCCTGCACAAGCAATACTCACCCCTGCCTCCCTGCACTCCGCCACCGCCCTCCCGATCAGCCCGCTCCCGGCACCTCACCTGTCTCCGCTTCCTGCCCCACCCTCATCTGGCTGGAGCGTCTCACAGCCACTCAGGCCATGCAGACTGGGCAGCTGGCCCTGTCGGCGGGACCGTGCCTGGACTGCACCTGGGAGATGTCTGCGAGGAACCCTGAAGTCTGACTCGGGGTGCCCAAATCTGACCTGCGACCTCAGTTCTAGGTTGACAGTGAGGCTGCCCAGGAGGTAGACAGGGCTGCCGTTGGGTACGTGTCAGGTGGGAGAGAAGAGGGCATTTTCTGGCAGGGATCTGTACTGGGCTGAGGCCAGAATCTTTGGCAACTAGGGGAAGAAGCCAGGACCCCACTGGTCCTGCCTACAGGCAGAAAGTGGGTAAGGACAGGAAGGTGACTGAAGCCCCTGGTCCTGTCGTTTCGGAGAGGACCCCGTGGGCACGGACAGACTGGGCCGGGTGCTCTCTAGGCAGAGGTGGCTTGGGAGAGCACGCACTTCTGCTCCTAAAATGGGACAGAGGGCTCTGTACTCTCTGACCCTAGTGGGGAGACAGGGAAGAAACTTGCTTGCAAAAGGGTATTTTTACCTCCTGATGGCGGTATGCTCGTCCCAGGGTGGTGTACCTGTGGGGCGCTGGGTTGTGGGTGACCCAGGTTTGCTGATGGAGCACCAAGGCGTGACCTCAGAGCATGCAGCCACCCCGGGGAGGGGGGGGCTCAACGCCCTCCTCCTAGGGCTCCAGGATGATAGAGGGAGGCAGGGGGCTGTTGGCTGAAAGGGGCTGCAGTGCCCTTTGCCTCTCGGGGAGGGTCTAGTCAGAGGGGCCTGATGTGCCGGTAATGGGATGACCCGCCTGCAACGCCAGGAGACGAGCCACCCCACTATCCCACCTCTCTAATGGAAGGGGATCCCCCCCCCCAAATTGACCTTGGGGAATTATTTAACGCTGCAAACACGTTACCAAACCCCACTGGATCTTCCCCCGTGAGGATTAAGTTGTGAGGTTGACAAGTCTGTGTGATGGAGACGGGCTGGATCTGAAGGCGTTTCTCAGCCTCCTGGGAGCAGGGCTTACCTGAGAGGCCGCTCAGAGCTAGCCTGACCCAGAAGATGAGTGTACGGTGTGAGTCCTGACCACCGCTGGGGTGAGAGGAAAGGTGGGGGAGGAAGGAACGGGATCCCTCCCGAGTCCTCCCTCCCCTGGGCCAACTCACTGCCTGGCTCAGTGTCCTGGCTCCAAATGCCCCAGCCCAGGTGGAACCCAGCAGCGGTGGTCACAGGACGGGGCTCTGTCATCCTATCTCCCCTTGGTCAGGCGGGTTCTCGGGGAATGTGGCAGAGACGGGAGTGGCCCTGCAGTGATGCTGGGCTGTGGGCAGAGAGTGACGGATGACTCAGAGCATCTGTCTTCACAGGCATGCTCCATCCGTCTGCCCCACTTCTCAGACGCCTTCCCTACAGGGAAGTCCGCAAAGGGCCTTTGGTATGAGCAGGCTCCAGGAAATGGGGCCAGATCTTGGTTTGATGAGGGGGATTTAATCCTTCAGGGATGAACTATCTTTGAAACCACACTGCCCCTCCAGCCCCTTCTCCCACAGTTCCGCTAGGAAAGGAACACTTAGAAGACGGCCGTGTCCGGCAAGTCCAGGCAAGGCTGGTGTTTCCTGGGGCTGAGCCAGAACCCAGGCGCTCCGGAGAGGGGGCACCCACACAGCCCATCGCCTGTGGATTTGCTGCCAGTTAGAGTCTGAGGGGGAGCCTGTCCTCCCAGGGCTGTGACACCCACCCAGGACGCATGCCGGAGCTCTTTACTGCCAGCTTGAGGACAGCAGAAGCCTCCACTTTTAAAGACAATAGAACTCTCCAAGGGGACCTCCTTGGAAATGAAATGTAGCACAATCTCAGACTGCGTTATCTGCCGGGACCCCTGACATGCACCTGGGGTCCTTCCTCCATGCCCTGCTGCCCAGGAGATGCTGCACCCTGTCCCCCTGGGGTTCTAGAGCTCCCGATACCTCACAGTCCCCATCCTCCTTGGCCCAGAAAGCAGCAGAGCTTTAGAAAGGCTGCTCTCCCACGTTTCCCCAATCGCTCCCACACTGTGCAAACTCCGTGCAAGCAACTGCTGCCTTTGCTCGATACTGTCCGAGCTGCTCTCCACCGGGGTGGAGAGGGCTGGCACACCGTTCAGGGCCAGGAGGTTGTCCAGCAGTACTTCCGCAGTGGCTGCAGGGAGATGGAGAAGAGGCCTGCTTCCCTGCCTCCTCCTCCCTTTCTCTTCCTCTCCTCGGTTTTCTTCCATACCCTGATGCTGCCTCCTCCGCTGGACTGTCTTTCGCTGGGTGACCGGGGAGGAGGAGAACCTACAGACTTGTGCCCTGCCTACTCCTCAAGTCTGCTTTTCACTCAGGTCAGAGGTGAATGAGGCAAGTCAGAACAGTGGTGACTAGAGCAGGGGAGCCCTGCACAGGGGTGAGGCCTGGTGGGGCTGGACTGGCCTGGCCTGGCGGGAAAGGGTTCATTTTGAAAGAGTGCCTCTCAGAGCAATGTCAGTGACGCCAAAGAGAGCGACTTGGCCTCCAGGGGCACCGCCCTGCTGGGTGAGCTGCACACACGTGGCTCCGGTGTTGGCGTGCCCAGTGGTGGAGCCTTGTTCTCTGACAAAGGGCTTAATCTTTCCATGTAGCAAAGCAACTCCCCCTTCTTCCCCTCAACCCTGAGCTTGGGCTTTTGTGGGCCCAGCATGGCTGTGCCTGTGAGGGAAGCCACATTGGTGAGAGAAATTGGCATTCTCTCAGGGGCCTAGGCTGGCCAGGGCAGGTGCTCACTGAAAGGCATGTGTGCTGCTGCTTTGCAGAACCTTCCAAGGCTCTGGCTGTAAACGTGGCCAGGAAGCACAGGGTCTTGGGCCTCCCCAGGAGTTCACAGATGCCAGGAAGGGTCCCTGTGCCTGGGTTCCAGACAGCTCTGCTAACAGAGATGGGGCTGGGAATCGCAGGGACAATGGAGCACTGCCCCCTCAGCCAGTGACCCAGATAGGGGCCGCCGGCTATAGGAATCACAGGCTGGGTTCCACACAGGTTTGTCAGAAACTGACCTCGTGCAAGACTCCTCTCCTTCTCTGGATCTCGGTTTCCTCGTCTGTGAAATTAGAGCGTTCCTTGGTTGCTCCATAGTCCCCTCCAGGCTTTCCAAATCTTTGATCTGGAGCGGATGAGGAGTGCTAGCCTGGTGTACTCGGCACCCGGTTCCTCCAGACCTTGGTGCCCAAGCTGGGCGCAGGTCCTAATCTGGTCCACGCTCAGATGCTGCTTCTGACTAGAACTCTGGGAATCCTAACGGACTCTGCTTTCCCCTCATGGCTTTTACTCTCGTGTTGTGAGGAGGAATGATCGAGGCTTGTCTCCACGGGACAGTTTCCAAGGTGCTGATGTGCTGGCATGCCCTCCGCTGCATCGTGTGGGTCAGTGTCCCCAACAGCAGATGAGGCTGGGTCAGTCCCTTCTGCGTCCAGATGGCCTCACGGGAAAGCTGGAGATCTGTGGATTCTAAAGGAGATGCTCTGTGACCGGGGGAGGGAACTGACTTTCCTTGCAAGTATTTTGCTTCTTCAAACCACTCTTCCCTCCCAAATGCTGTTCCCAGACACCATCTCAGAAGGCAGAGTGGCTGCTTCCTTAGGGAAGGTGGGCCTGGTAGTTCTGTCAACCCCCTCAGCACGCCAGCTCCCAGCAGGCAGGAACCCCCGTTTCTAGAACTTCCCTGTGCACCCTACGAAGAGCTCGCTGACAGGGACTGACAAGCACACCGTTAGAGAAGCCTCCAGAGCGCCTTTTCTATCTGCTCTGCACATGCTCCATGTGCCGCGTCTTTCCCACACTCGGTTCCTGAGTGGCGGGGGGACAGCTGGGAGGGGCTGCTGGCTGTCGCGTACAAGTTCTTGCCAATTTCCTTGAGGAGAAACTTCTTCACCTGGCTTCTGCATGTACAGTATTTGGGCAGCAAAAAAAGATTAAAGTCAGTTTGAAAACGGTCTCATGGGTTTCTTTCTGAAGATGGTTCTTATTCTAGGAGAGAGGAAACAGGGTTCCAGGTGACTATAAAGAGAAGAAGCAGGATGCCCTGACCGAGAGGCAGGAGAGAACAGCACCTCTCAGAAAGGAATGAGGGTCAGCAGGTGGCGTGGTGGTTAAGGTGCTGATCTCCCACATGGCTGACTGCGGTTCGAGTCCTGGATTTAGCAGCTTGCTTTCTCACTTTCCCTTTCTCTTTCTCTGGTCAAATTAAATAATAGCAAATAAAATTCAAAAATAATTCTTTTTTAAAAAGGAAAAAGGAATGAAAGTTGTGACCTGGTTTTTGACCTTTCCATTCCTGTTTGGGCAAATCTGTTGCACAGCAATACCCTGAACCTGGAACTGGCTGATCTAAGCAACTTCCTGGCTCTGGCTCCCACGGTTAGAGACCCTCCAGGCCTTTCCCCACAGGCTCCACAAGAGATGCCCTAAGAGGAGAAGAGATGGAGCTAGGGCCTGCTTTCGACCACTGTTGTTTCTCTGCGAGCTCCTGATTCCAGCAGCTCTGCCTGGGCACGTGGCTGGGTCAGTGCTGGTATTTCAGTTGCACCAGACACAGGCAGAAAACCGCCACTGAGGCTGGTGCTGCGACCTACAGCCTCCACCGACCCCAGAAGCACCCCGTGCCCTCCCTGCCCCATGGAGGGGTGGAAGTCGCTTCGGGGCAGTGCCAATGTCCTCCCAGGGCTGGGTTTGGATAAAGAAAAATACAGCATTGTCACAATGTGTTTGCTAGGGGAAAGGCTGACAGCCTGCATCCCAAGAGCCCTCCGGTGTGACTCCTGCTGCCATGGCCCTGACCCTTGGCCTTGCAGTTCCCATGGGTACCTCGAGAAAACCTGAGACCAACATCTGAGCTCTCGGGCTCCCCAGGATCCTGACTTTTTCTGCTGTTCTCTCCCTGGGATCACATGTGCTCTCAGGAGTCTAAGATTTCTAAACTTCTACCCAGCAAAATTCTCTAAGGCTCCCAGGAAGAAAAAGAAATAAAGAAAAAGGTGTAAAGATTGAAAGAGAGGAGATAAAAGTCATCTATAAGTAATTTTATAACAACCTAATTTTTTTTAACAGAGCGCATTTGTGCTCACCAGAGACAGCAGAGAGAAAGAGGGAGAAACGCCCTTCAATGGGCCGTGTGCAGGCCACAATCCCTTCTCCTCCATTTCTTTGGGCTCGTGTGCACACATGCCTAGAATGTTTTTCAAGCTGCCCGGGGTCAGGATTTAAAGCATGGTCAGTCGTGTAGCATTCAGCTCCCTAACAACTAGGCTACAAGGCCAGCCCCAACCTAATTTGTATTAAATTACCTGGCCATGTGCTCACCAGGGACAGAGAGAGAAGGGCGGGGGAGAAAGCATCTTCCAATGGGATGTGGTCACACTGCATTCCCTTCTCCATTCCACCATTCTGCCAAAATTTGGGGTACAAGTTAACTTTTGTAAACATTTATTTATTTACTTGTCATTTTCATGCCACTGAGTCTGGGACTTGAACCATGACCGGCCATGTGGGAATCCAGCACATGCCACCTGCTAGCCCTGACAAGCTAACTTTTTAAAAATAGTATCAATGATTAGAACTAATAAGAGCATTCAGCAAAGTTGCTGGTGATAAGATCACTCTACAAAAACAATTGCCTTTCTCTGTAACAACCATATCAGTCCACTACTGCATTGCTAACAAAGATACCGGAGACTGAGTAATTTAAGAGTAGAGATTTGGTCAGCTCATGGCTGGTGGCCCAAGGTCCACAGGCTAACTTCTGGTGAGGCAGAGGGCAAGGTCCTGAGCAAAAGGCTGCCCGTGAGTTTCTGCCTGTTCCGGTTTCCTTTCCCCTCATAGAAACCCACCAGAACTTTCCCTCATAGAGGGGGATCAGAGGGGCCCCACCCTAGGATACCATGAAGGGCTAAGTTTTCACTTACGACATTTACGGTACAACCAAGTCACTGCACGTGAATTCTGGGACAACCAAACTATGACCCCACTAGAGCAAATACACATGAGATGCTACCTACCATTGCAATAAAAATCATTAGGTCTCTAGGGACTACTTAGATCTCCATGAAGAAACCTCTCAAACTTTGATGATAAAAGAGTTGTTACGAAGACATGGAGGCATTCCCTGCTCTTGGATGAGACAGTTTAATATAAAGATAGTAACTCACCCCAAGTTAATCTATAAATTCTATGTAAACGTAATCAAAATTTCATTTGGTAGTTCAAGAACCTTACTCTACAATTTATATTCAGTAACACAAGTCCACCAGCTTCTATTTAAAGAAGAAAAGAGAGCATCCAAAGATTGGAGCATATGTATCTGGAAATTAATATATGACAAAGGAGAGCACTTTAGAGCACTGGGAGAAACCAGACTAGTTAAATATGTATTAGGACACCTCTTTTACCATCTGGGCAGAAAAACGTATCCCTACCCAAACCAAAATGCAAAGATAAGCTTCAAATCATTTACTAGACCCAAAATTGAAAGGTAAAATGGAAATTTAATAAAGGAACAAGTAAATATTTTTATGCACTAAGGACAGGAAAACTTTTTTTTTTTTTATTGCCCTAAGGACAGGAAAACTTTTTTTTTTTGAGAGTTTTTTGCTATAGGGCTCTGTCACTTTGCCAGAAAGACAGAGAGAGACAGAGAGATAGAAAGCGAGAAATCACCCCCCAGGGGGGATGGCCATGCTGCAATCCCTTCTCCTCCATTCTCCTCTCAGGATCTTGGGCACGCATGCACACGTGCCCCACAGGAGTTTAAGCCGCCGGGTCCGGGACTTGAACCACGGTCGACTACATGGGAGTCCAGTGACATAGCCATTACACTAACTGCTGGTCCCAGGACAGGAAAACTTTTAATACTAATACACAAATTAAAGCAATAATAAACGTCGCTTTATACTGATAATAGGTAAAAATGAGAAAGCTGGGTAATGCCACAAGAGGGCAAACGGAGACATGAGAACCTCAGCATCTACTGTGGAGAATGTAAATGGATGCAGCCGATATCTTTTATTTTATTTTATGTAGATTTTTGCCATAGGGCCTGTGTGCTGCCCCAGAGAGACAAGCAAAGGGAACATGAGAAATCAACCCCTGGGGGGGGATGGCCATGCAACCATCCCTTCTTCTTCATTCTCTTTTCAGGAGTTTTGGGCACATATGCACAGGAGCCTGGTGTATTTTTCAAGTTGCTGGGTCTGGGACTTGAACCATGGAGTCTGCCAAGTGGGGTCCAGTGCTATAACCACCATGCTACCTGGTGACCCTGGCGCAGCTATTTTTGAGAGCAACCTGACACTGGTCCGATTACATGCAGACCCTGCCATCAGTAAACTTGTGTATAGGCCCACTGAAGGGGCACGCACGAGCACGTTCTCTGAAGCATTCCTTGTGGTAGCAGTGTGGTAGGCAGAAGGGCGGCCCTCTGAGATGCCTATGTTCTAATCCCAAACCCGTGTGTGTCCATTTACATGGTAAAAAGGACTTTGCAAATGTGATTAAGTTAAGGACTTGGAGATTATCTGGGATAGTTATCTGGGCCTAGAATAATCACATGAGCTTTTTTTTTTTTTAATGAGCTTTTAAAATTAAAAACCTTTTCTGGTTGGTGTGGTCAGGAGATGGGGCTGCAGAAGAGTGGTCAGAAAACTGTGGTATGAATGACTTTGGAGAGGGCTGAAGCAGGTGAGGGCATGAGCCAAGGAGCACGGGCAGCCTCTAGAAGCTGGAAGAGACAAGGAAATAGTCTCCTGTTTCCTCCATAAAAAACTTTTTTTTCTCTCTTTTTTTTTCTTTTTTTCCCCCCCGAGAGATTTTTTGCTATAGGGCACATGAGTTCACCAGAGAAACAGAGAGACAGAAAGCGAGAAATCACCCCCCAGGGGGAATGGCCACGCCACAATCCCTTTCTCCCATTCTCAGGATTTGGGGCAGGCACACACAGGCACCCAGTGTGAGTTTCAAGCTGCGAGGTCCAGGACTCAAACTACAGTTGACCACGTGGGAATCCAGTACCTTAACCACTACACCACTTGCTGGCCTCCTATAAAGAACTTTCATGATTCAATCATAAATAGACAAATAACCCAATTTAAAAATAGGCAAAGGAGGGGCAGCAGGTGGCATGGTGGTTAAGGTGCTGGACTCCCACATGGTTGACCACGGTTTAAGTCCTGGACCCAACAACCTGAAACTCAAGCTGGGCACATGTGTATGTACGCCTAAAATCCTGAGAGGAGAATGAAGGAGAAGGGGCTGCAGTATGTCTAATCTATGAAACTAGTCCTGTGGAAATGTAAGCGATGCAGTCACAGTGAAAACAAGTTAGCAGTTCTTCCAAAGGTTAAACATCAGTTACCATAAGGCCCAGCAATTCTGCTCCTAAGTATAACTTTTACATGAATATTCCTAGCAGAATTATTCAATTTAACCACATATAGCCAAACCACCCCAGGGGATGGGGGTGGGGGTGGGTTTTCACTTTCTGTGTCTCTGGAGCACACATGCCCTATAGCAAAAATCTCTCTCTCAAAAAAAAAAAAAAAAAAAAAGGCAAAGGATCTGAAATCAACATTCTCCACAGGTCAGTGAGCACATAATAGATGATTATTATTAGCTACCTGGGAAGCCATCACTGAGTCCCAGACCAGTGGCTTGAAATTCATGCCAGGCATGTGTGCACATGTGCCCAAAATCCCAGGAGAAGAAATAGGAGAAGGTACTGTGGCATGGCCATACCCCTGGGGGGGTGATTTGTTACTTTCCCTCTCACTATCTGTCTCTTTCCTACCCAGGTGAGTACACACGCCCTACAGCCACAATCTTTAAAAAAAATAAAAAAAGGACAGGAAACAAACAGTGGCACAGCAGTAACACACGACACTCTAAGACAATTCCACATGGGAAAGGTCCTAGTTTAAACCTGAAAACCTCCCTGAATACACAC